ACTAATATCTAATAATTCATTTTGCTCATAATTTCCATTTTTCATTACCAAACGGTTCGGGTAAAGCAGAGAGAGAGCGCGAGCACGAGACGGAGATGGTTTGGTTTAACGGCAGCTCGCATATTTATCGCAATCGGTCGTATTTATCAAAACGAACTGGCGCATAATGCAATATCATCAATATGTATTCAGCAAGCAACAGCAGCAACATAAAATATCGTTTTGGATTTTCGTGTTTGCATATTTAAATGAATGTGAAACGAAAATTGCGGGGCAATTCGACATATTCGTTTTCTTTTGTGTGGTGCGACACACACACACACACACACAGTGACTGCCACAACGAATGAAGATATAGAAAATTGAGAAACGCAATAATGGCAAATACGATGATCATAATGATGAAGACGAAACGGCTTTAAAATGCATTCGAGCGGCATCAGAGTGACACAGCCCGAACGAATGAAAGAAAAATAGCTCAGGTCTTGTGCGCGCACAATTTACGAAAATGTATTGGAACGCGGCATACACAAGACTGAAGAGGTGCCTTCAATGCCGTTGGGCCAAACGTTTGCCGGCAGTTCCGAAATGAAGAAAGACAGAATGGAAGAGAAAAATGGAAATTTGTGCAGCAAAACAATTTTTTTGTTCGTTGCTTTCATAACATCCGAAACGACATGAAAGCTAACAACATAATGTCCAATGTAGGATGCACAACGAACGATGTTACCGTTTCGACTAAATTTTCTGGCTGTCACACTTCTTCTGTGTTTGTTACACTTTAAATAATCGATGCAGCATTGTTCTTACCGATGCTTCACAGTACTTGTTTCAACAATGAGTGGGTTGGCAAGTGCTGCAAACACTGTGTATCTGCTTTTTTGCATACGGCTACTTTATCTCAAACTCTTCGGCGCACGTACATCCATTTTTTTGTGTGTGTTTATGTGCGCCTTCCGTTCGTTTCATGCTCTCGTTCTCACTCAACTCACACCGTGGCTCAAGTGAAATGTACTAGATCCGAAATTTATTGCATGAACCCAAAATGGAACAGAGCAAAAATTGATCCAAATCATTTGGAAATGGATTCCTTCGAATCGAACCGACCATCTACTACGTTTCAAATAGAGAAGGGGGTGGTATTTGATTGTAAGCTGCCGGATTTTCGAATCGACCAAATCCAATTGAAGCGCAACTGCTGCAGAAAATCCAATATTTGGACAGTGTCATCGTAAAAAGACGTCTCACAAGTACTTTCGAAAGAAAAAAAATAGTTGGAGCTGCATTTGAATTTTGAAAATGGCAAATATGTGTGTGACAGCACATTAGAAATGTATAACTTTGCAGCGCATCGAGACTTTAAATCGCATATTGTGTGTCGCTCAGCATTTCTTGTGTGCATGTGCACATTCCCACTGCATTTATGTTTATTAAAATTGCATTTATGCAAAAGCGGAGAGAGAAAGAAAGAAGCTGAATTTTGTGCTTGCGTTCTTGTTCCGTTTGATTTTCGCTTGTACTTTTGCATTGTTTTCGAATTCTAATGACTGCAGACGGAATCGATCTCATTTCAAATTCAATTATGCATACTGAAGCCATTGATGACGGTGCAACGAGAATCGAGTCACACATACACATACACATACACGGAGAGGGTGGAATGAATGAAAACATTTGCACATGTTGATAACGAATCATAAGAGTTTGACTGTGAGTCGAATTTAATACGCATTTCGAGTTCAAGCATCATTGACATTAAATTAGGAAAATATTATAACTGAAGTGGCTTGTTGGGTGCTGGATAAGAGAGTCATCGAACATGTCAATTCTCAGGTGGAAAATTCAATTCTCGGAAGAAAAAAAAAAATGGAGGAAAAACCGTATAATTTACCGATCGCAAGATTTGTTCACGGAAGCCATGCGGTGAAGCAAAAATAAAGAGCCAAATGACATCGTTTCCATGGGGAAACGTTCTAATCTTTGATCTTCTGAGCATACAGTTCAGTAGCACATTTAATTTTTCAACGTTCAAAGTTGTCAATCAAAAAAAAATTGAAGTAGAAACTTTTCCAATTTAAATGGAACATTATTTTCTGATTGTATGAATGAAACCATATACCAGAGAAGAAAAAAAATTCTTGTAATGAATTCAAATTTGGGTTGAAAATCACAAACACGCATATTCATTGCACTGCCGTCAGTTAAGGTTGACGATGAAAATGCGATAGATTTCACAATAGATCTAATAAACAACAGAGCAGCATGCGTTCCACTGTTTTCGACAAATTAATTTCCTCTGTTTTCCGGAGCTCCGGCGCTCGTTGTGGTTTTTAGACCAAGAAAAAAAAACATTTCATAAAAAATCACACACATACACATACCTCACATAACATATTTCAGTGCAAATGGAGATCCAACTTTTTGTCCATTGTAGTTGGACCAAAATCTGGTGCATCTGCATAGTGCGTTGTCCATTCATTTAATTAGGAATAAAATATTCATCAAACGCATAGCCATGGCGTGTACCGTCCACATCACATGAGTATAAAGATACCGAGTGAAAAAACAAAGAAACAACCATCCAACACTGACCAGATAATACCATACGGATATGTACGCAGGGGCCGAAAATGCAAATAACATATTCATTACCTTACACGTTTTGCTTTTGTACGTTGCACGTAAAATCAACAAGCTCCGATGTTCAGCAACAAATCCGAAAACCATACCTTATCATTTGCATATACAAGCCAGTCAGCAACGGTTTTGCTACTGATATTGGTGATGGTGATGGTGGTGTTGTTGTTGCTGTTGTTTTGCAACTGACTGCGGTATAATTTGGAATGTCGTTTGTCATTTTCTGTTTTACCACTGGTACTTGTGTTCGGTTCACGTGTCTAATGTCGAGGAGGAGAGAGCATCCACTCACAACTTTTATAAGCATATACATCTGCATTCCTGTAAACACATTCAATTCTATAAATAACTCAAGCATTTTTCTCGTCTCTCTGTAAAAAGAGCTGTCGACTCGGAATCGGTGCAAAATGTGATGCATCTTGTGATTATACGGTATCTACGTTGGTGTATTTTATTTCTGATTACAGAAATGTAATTGAGATGCAAGAGACATTTTTGGACTTTATCATCTGTGACAAAATTCTGAATGTTCTGATGTTGTTATTGTAAATTTTAATTACATGTTTGAGCCAAAGATATTTCACTGAAAAAAACATGCGACAAACATAGGTCGATTCGTAATTAGAGGCCAGCATTCGATGAACTATCTCTCATCGATGGAAGTGTAAAAAAAAGTCGAATATGTCATGTTAATGTAATCAATAAGTACTCTGATCGCATAACGAGATGTGCAAGTGGTTGACAATGAGACATTTTATGCATGGCACAAGTATACACATTGTAAACCACAGACAAAATGGCTCCACCGCAATCGAAAGGCGATCTCAGCCTGAACAACAACAACAACAAAAATTGTACATATGTAGATTTGGTCTGTCAATGATTATGGCATTGAATTGGTGCAGAGGTAAAAATGTCCAAAATTGTCGTGCCTCACACATTGACGCGATGCGGTCGGAGATAAGATCTCGAATTGACGTTGATCCTGTATGCGCTCACCGTTTGTGCTCATGCTTGTATCGCACTTTTTAAAGTGGTGCACAATGCTATTTTCAATGAGTGTCTTTTTTATGTTGTCGCTGACCAAACCACATAATCGTCTGACAAAACGCAGCATAACCAAACACATACAAAAAGTGAAAAAAAGCAGAGAACCGAGCCTAAAGTTGATTGACATCTGCCTTGATCCAGCGAACAACAGACGACGTATCGTTGTCAATACGATTGATTTGGTTGTTTGTTTGGTTGGTTGGTTGGATGCTGTTGCTGCGGCTGACTTTTTTTCGTTGTATTTCGTTCCGTTTGCGGTTGGCAGATCGACAAAGTCACACACAAATATGCTACAAAATACATCGACTACCTGCAATTGACAAGAATAAGAAAGAGTCGAGTTGGAACAGATAAAAAACAACACACATCCAAAGCCAAAACAAAGCCGTATTTCGTTTGTTGTCTTTCACATTTCATACTAAATTTACATTCATAGCCATTGTATTTACTCTTACCACTCATTCAATTTCCTGACATTTTCGTTCGTTCGTTCGTTCGCTCGTTTGTTGTCATTCGTGGTTTTTCTCTCTGTTCTGCGTCTCTCTTTTTTTTCGGTATGACGATGGCCCGTTTGATTTGTATATGTATAATTTCATGTGATGGAATCGCGTTATATGCTCCAAAAAGGTGACAGAACGTACGTACAATCGTGTCAGAATCATATGCTTATCACATTGTACAAATCCGAAATGTCAAGCAAAGTGGAATAAAACCAAAATGGAAACTTGTTTAAGTGTAATTTGGTTGGTATTTAGGCGATTGGACTGTGTGTGAGCGTGTGTGCGAGTCTTGTTTGCAGGGCAAAATGTGTTTATACCTGTAAATCAAGCGTGTTAGATTTTAGATAAATGGTACTTTATATTTAGAGAAATGCAAAACATATTCGATTAAGCATTTGCTTAAGTCATCCGTTTATCGCGTACGTTCAATGTACGGCCGGCAGCAATGTGAATATATCTCGTTGACGTCGTAGCACACAAGCAAAATAATAATAATAATGTTGTGTGTCAGTGCACGAATCGGATTTTAAGACAGCCATCGATTTGAGAATGCATTGCATTGACAATGAATGGCTTTAGTTTTTCGTTTCTTCAGTGGTTTGATCGTATTCGAAACGTTAATTGGCAAGTTATCTGTGTTTGGGAAACCGACAGGTTGTGCTCAATCGATGGACATTTCAAGTAGATCGAGTTCGGTTTATTAACAGATTAAGTTGTTTTCTAATTTTAAGCATGTTATGTTTATTTTTTTCGATTGTTTGATTGACACATTTGATTGACCGCATTTTTCTCTCTTTGTCTACTTTGTTTCAGATCTCAACCGACATTTTAAAACAAAAATGCTAATCCGCATCTAGGCCTGACACGCTAACATTTGTGAACAGAAATAGAAAAAAATAAACCGAATTCAATTGAATTTTCTGTTTTAGAATCGACCGAACGCATCAACTCATTTCAAATGCGCCATAAAATTGTGTGAACACGTATTTTCCGTCTTTTTCGTTTCGTCCGAATCGGCGCTTTGATTCATTGATTGTTCTTCTTCGTTGGAAGAAGGGCTTCAATCAACGGCCGAGGAAGCAGAAAGCAACCGGAGCAGAATTTTCCATTACACAATCGTTTCAATTTTCTGATGTGGAAAATGTTTGACAACGATTTTTTCGAATGTGGTGACGATGCTTGCGATGGACCCGGACCACCGCCAAAATTCCATTTGCCACCACCACCGCGGCCACCATTTATGCAAGACCTAAACGCTGCCCTTGGTACAACCATCGAGTGCTCAGAGGATGGACTCTTCGATTTGGATGTTTGTGCTGCCATTCCGGTAAGTTTACCTTTTCATTCTTCTGGTGTACCGTTCTTCTATGTCACAAAAAAAAAATCGAAATTAGAAATTCATTTTTTTTAGCCCAAATATTCAATAGCGAATACCAATCGGCAAATTCAAGTTCGATTGCTATTAATCTTCGGCGGTGGTAAAATCGAAGTGCCACTTCAACTTCAATTCAATTCGAAATCCAATCGAAATTGAATGGAAAGAGCGAACTGTTCGGTTTGAATTTTTCCATGAAAGCACTTTTCAAGTATTTGCCATGCTTAATCCAAACGATACGCGATAATGTCTTTGTCATTTTACCTTCAACGACAAAGTCGCTTGTGAAACAGACTGAATGAGCAAGAAAAAAATGATACCGAACATCCGATGGTGCTGTGCAAATGCGACGCAGAAAAATTAGTCAGCTCTTCCGGTCTCAATGGCAAAACCGCTTTGTTCGCAATCATTAAAATTCAGATCACTTCTCTAAATAAAAAAAAGAACGAACGAGACTGAAAAAAGCGAACCGAAGAAAAAAGTAGAGAAAAATGAACGGCGAACAACAAATAAGTAGAGAAAAAGGAAAACCAAACGGTGAATTTCTATCGTCAACAACCCAAATAAATGAATACAAATACTCGAACGTGAAGCATCGTACATTGATTGGTAAAATATTTTATGATAATTAAAACGCGACAGAGAGAAAGCATCACGTTGTCGCACAACAACCGGTGGCAATTCGTGTTCTCATACCCAAACCACATACCATTTTCACTCTCGCGTTGAATAGAATGTTCCTGTAAATTTCGTGTTTGAATAACTTCTGAGAACATTCTCTCATTATTTATTAGCAAAAAAATGTGATTTTAATATTAACAGCGTGCGTTTGTGGCTAAATGCTTGGCTTGACATCACTGCGTTACCAGGCCGTATTGTTTAGTAATGGCATCGGTATGCGCCATATCATTTTATCAGCGTTGAATCGATAAACGACATATTTATAACACGAAAGGAAATTTATCCCGAGAGAAATAACGGCGCAACGGAATTGTGTGCGTCGCAACACACACACACACACATAGCGCGCAGCACAATACCGAATCGAAGCGAAAAATAAATCGAACACATTTTAATAAACGATATTAATTGGGCATTAAACACAGCCAAGAACCATTCAATGTCATAAATTATGATTTTCTCATTCACATTCGGTTTATATATTTTCATTCGCTCTATTTGTCTTCAATTGTCAATTCCGTCATTATTGCTTATTTGTGGGCCGTCGCACACGTCTCGCTCAGCCGCCCGCTTATGAATACACACGCACTGTTCTCTGTGTACTTGAATCGAAATATGATAAATGGAATGCGACACGCGCAATAAATAAACAGCACAAATACAATTACATAATGGAATGTAATGAATAAAATATTATGTAATATATTTTCGGGGGGAGACACACCGAGAGAGCGCGCGCGTGAGCTGGCCGATGGTTGATTCGTGGCCACGTATGTGCCGGATCGTCGAAACCGCACCAATTCTCCCTCTTTTTATTTTAAATTTTGCAAATTGTCGAAAATCCCATGGAAAATAAAGCTCATATGAAATGTATACATTTATCATGCATTCGGCCGTTTAATTTATTGGCCAACATGTTTGAATATTGATTTACGATGCCGCTGTCGCCGTCGCCACCAGTTTTGTACCAGTATCGATGGATTAAAATGACCTGATATTATATGCCATGAATATAAATAAATAAAAATAAAATAAATTTACTCATCGTAAACACACAATTTATTTCTTTCCCTGCGATCAAATCCAAAGAAAGTAAAAAATCTGCGGTGAATTCAATAGCGAATGGCAAATTCTACGAATTTAAAAAGCAAACATTGCAAGACGTTGAATTCTCTCGAATTTTGATTCTCAATATAATTCTCTTTTCCATTCGCGTTATTATATTTTAAACGTACATTGTTCCCGGAGCACGGTGCTTTCAATTCTTTTTGCTTAAAGATTATTATGAATTAGAGGAAAACACATTGCTGCTCTCATCGAAGTTTATTATTTGAGTTTTCACAAAAGACAGATTTAATAAAATTAAAAACGGGATTTTCACTTTACTTTGTCGTCCTGCATTTGCGTTTTTTCCTCTTTCGACAATTGTTTCATTTCCTGTTTTTGTCTTTATTTTGGCCGGCTCTTATGTTCTGATGTCGGTCGCTATTATTTCCGTCACGTTTTCTGCTTGGACACCCACAAATCTTTATCAAGAAAGCACCATAGACTCTCCAATACCAGCAACGCCATTTCCTTAATCAAAACGATATAAAATATTGCTGGTTTCTCTCTCATCCTCTGGCTCTCGCTCTTCCTTGCTTGGTGCTGCCATCCATAGTCCATTGTTCGATGTGCGAAAATGATGTCTTTGTTATTTTGCTTAAAAAAGCAGCTTTCATCTGAACATGTCTGTATGAAAGACCAACACAAAGTTGCTGACTCATTGTTTGGCACACAACCAAATACACTCTCTTACAACAAAAAAGATAACAGCTGAAAGATACTGACTGAATGAACGTCCAGTCCGTTTGAAAAAGCACACACGCACACGCACATACACAGAGCATAATCTAACAAAGGCGAAACAAACCAAAGCCCTTTCCCATCATCATTCAAAATGTGTGTTTTGAAAGTAATGTATTGTTCTTTCAATCGCAACCTCGAGCAGCCTTCTTCCTCCTCATCGTGTTAACAATTACTTTGTTCCATATTTTATAAATACACAGACCCCACTTCATTTGCTGTCGGAAGCTCTTCGGCGAAGAGTCTTCGCTGATGGGCTTCTAATCGGAACAAACTTCAAACATATGAATATTAGAGTTGTTGTAAGTATGCGAAACAAGGACCATGGTAACTGCAGTACATATAGTTCAACTTCTCGTAAAATTAATGCAAAATGCACCAAACCGAAAGTGGATTAAATTGCATCTCTGATTAAAAAAAATGGAAAAATGCGTCGAAGAGTTGTTATAGTTATAAATTCCCAGCAGATGCCTTCAACTCGGTAGGAATTTTGTACAACATTGTTGCAGTGCTGCGTACCCAATGCAAGGATGCATCTCGTATAGTTTATGAATATTTTTCTCCTTAAAAAAAAGAACATTTTTTCTCGAATTCCAATTACGATGTGATCATCAATCAATAACTTTGCCAGTGGGTTTCCATGCGAAAAGAACGGAGTGAAAAATCCCTGAACTGAACATTATTAATAAATAGTTTGCTGTCATGGAATGCTTTCCATCATCTCGATGGCTGCGCAATTCGCTCTGCATGGAGTAGGAAATATAAATTTTTTTTAAAAACATAAATTGAGTTTCTTCGACGAAATAAAAAAAAAACATTTCAACAATCACCGCTCACTTCTGCGAATGAAACACTTTGATTTGATCGTATGTGCGGCTCGTAAATTAAAATTTTATAGTGCGTATTGTTGTCGCAAAATCAAATAAAAAATTCTCTTTACTGACTTGTCAAACACTAAACTTACACTCGACTACACTCGCAGTTATAATTTAATCTCTTTTTGCCCGGCGTCATTCGACATAAAAAAAAATCAACAATTTCTGAAATGGTCGCTTTGATAATAAATAAAAGGAAGAAGTTGCATGCAATAAAGTAAGAAAGAACACACACAAACAATCGTTGTGCCACACACCTTTTGTTTGAATGGCAAGTGAAAATTAAGTGACACTTGCCATAGACGGAAAGAGATAGCGAGAGCGAGAGTGAGGAGGAGAGAGCATCATAGGACGAAAAGGAAAGGGCTATGCAAACAATCACTGCAACAACGAAAAACTTATGATAAGCAGTCGTGCTGACAATAATAACAACATATGAATGTAATAAAGGCACTTTGTCAACTTTTTATTGCAGCATCACACAACAATTCTCATTCAATGGCATCGCTTTTATGGGCCAGTTGCATTTGTGTACAATTTGTACAACACAAACACAGGCCTTTGAAAGTAAAATTGTTCGATGCAGCGTAATAATGACCGCGTGTGCCCGTTGTCATCCTCCTCTTGTGTCACCAGTTTTATATTATTTTCCGTCTCAATAAACAAGTTGAGCGTCAAGTCCTTTATTTTTTTTTTGCTTTCTTGCATTTCATTCGCGCTGTACTCTCAACTAATTTGTAGTGTTTATTTGTTTCGTCGTTGTCTGAACGAAGAGTGACACATTCGCAGTGTCGTCGTCATTGAAGCGCTACGGATGAAGTGATGCAAACGTAGAAAGTAAATGGGCGCTGCTGCAGGGCGCATATTATTATTTCATAAACGAACGTGTCTTCCTTGTAGCACTGTTTGCAGCAGCAGCAGCAGCAGCAGCAGTATCACTCTCATGCACTCCATGCGTTCCCGATTACTTGCGCCATTAAATTCCAATTTCTCTTTTTCCTTCATTGTTGCTGCCACTCGTCGGCACAAGCGACAACGAGCAAATGATGAACAAAATGGTAACAAATAAAAAACGAACTTATTGCATTAAAATACATCAAACGAAATGATTATTTAACAACTTATAACTAACAAAGTATGCAATGGCATATAGTGGAATTGGTATTAATTATAACCAAGCGATAAAAATAAATACTGACAGTCACTTTCGCCTCCATTGTATGCATGTAGCATTGAAGCAGTAAAAGTAGCGGCAGCAGCAGCTGCATAAAATGCCAAGTACTTTTGAACTAGGAAAATAATCATGAAAATGAGAATGAAGATGACGATACTCATGCATTGCATTCCACGCAATTTTCAAAACGATGAGAAGAGAAAAGATACAAGCATTATTTCTTGCAACAATGTTCACAATTTCGTCGAAACGATTGCGAATGCAAGTCGACACCGACCAAACCCTAAGCCACACATACGAAAACATTGTATTTTGTGCTGTGGCATTCGTATGGTAACGATGTGCCGTAAAACTGAAACAACCCGAGAATAAACGAA